ACCCGGGGGCGGGGGGGGAGAGGAGAGCACGGGGTCACAGGCCCCGTGGGAGCAGAACTGACAATGGACGGACCATCGCAGCAGCTTTGCAGAGCAGCTGGCCGTTCTGAGTGCAGGACACGGGTCCTATCACTTCATCCCCATCATAAATTGGGGAGACGGGGGTGGGGGTGAGGGTGATGCTGACGTGAGGAGGATGGGACGGTGTCAGCGATGACGACAGAGGACACCTCACTGGAGCTGGCGATGCACCAGGCACTGCTCGGAGCCCTTCCCCTGCACTAACTCCCAGATCCCACAGCTCAGCCAGCAGGCGGCCTCGTAATGTAATGTTATTTTTTACTGTAATTAATTTTATAAATACCTTTGAGTGTGGAAGAACATTTCAATGAACTCTTCTTTTAAAAAAATATAGAACATAAGCAGGAACATTTGGAATAACTTAATTGGCCCTGATTATCGAAAAGCAATTTTTTTTAAAGCAACAAACTATAGCTACATTTGGTCCTATAAACCGTACCGCCAGCAGGTCCACCAGCGCCTCTGGGAGAAGCAGCAGCGTGAGCAGCAGCATGTGTGCGCATGCACGTGTGTGCGCACGCGTTTGTGTGTGTGCATGTGTGTGCGCACGGGTGCGCGGTCGAAATGAGAGGAGGACGCGTCCACGGAGACCGAGAGCGTGAACCCTCCGAGCGAGCCTGGCCTGGGGTGCAGCGCACAGTCCTCGCTCCCCCGGCTCTGACAGGCTGACTGAACTCAGTGCACGGCCCCTCCCCAACCTCAGCCACCAAAGACCCCACAGCCCGCCCTCCCCGACCATCACCGGCCCTCCCGCTCCTCCCCCGCCTGAGCCTGAGCCGAGGGCGCCGCCTGCTCGCCTCCTGCCCACTGACTCGGGGAGGCTCTCTTCACTGTGCCGTGTGCGACCTCAGTGACTTCCAATGGTTTGGGGGTGTTCACTGTGTGGCTTCAGGAGGCAGGGCCTCAGGCATCACCTTGCGTGTCCACATCCCGCGCCAAGCTGGGCTCTCGGGTGCTGGACACACGGACCCGGACGGACGGACGGACGGCGCTGAGCCTGGCCCTCGCCAAGGTTCCCATCCTCCCACTGAGATGTTCATGCAGCTGAACAATTCCTCTCGGGCGACTCCCTACCCCAGGTCTGACCTCCCGTGCCCATGGCATGGTCCCAAGGCCAGGAACCAACTCTGTGAGCGGGCTCTGGGCTCCTGGCTCCGGGGAGGGCCTGCCCCGCGGCCTGGCCTCCGCAGGGGACATCTCACGTGGCCTGGGCCTGACGGACAAGCGCCCTCCCCTGTGGCAGAGCCCAGCGGCAAGTGAGTCAGGGCTCTGCCTCGGATGGGGGGGGGTCTCCTCACCTTTCACCTGGCCGTCGGGGGCTCCCTCCTCCCCGGACGCCAGCAGGGTGGGCAGGAACAGGGAGTGCTGGGCCAGCATCATGTGGACCACGGGGAGCGGGACCAGGCTCGCGCGCACGGGGCTGTCGGGCCGGTACAGGAGCTGCACGGCGGCGTGGAGCACCCTCAGAAACGCGGGGTCCTGATACCGAAACCTGGGAGGTAGCATCAAAGGGGAAACAGCTTCCTAAGGGAACTTCACTTCCCAGGAAACAGAACACACGTCTCTGGGCCTTCTATGAAGCCTCTCCGATCCCCGAGGGCCTCCTGCTCTAGGACAGGGAGCTCCGGTCACAGGGGAACACCGAGCCATGTGACATGCAGTGGGCGTTCTAGAAACATCCACCACGGGCGGACAGATGCCGCCACCGCGTGCTGGCGCTTGCAGCCTCCAGCCTGTGACCCGCCACTCACTCCTCTGCTCGTGGGAAAGCGTCTGTGTCAAGGGGAACAGCCCGGAGCGAGGGCTGCAGCCCATGGCACGGCTCCGGGCACCGGGTCGCCAGGATCAGAGTCCGCTCGATCACGTCAGCGAGGACGCGGGGTGCGGGGAAGGAGGAGCTTCCCCAGGACACAAGCCACCCGCCAGTGCGGCTCAGCGGTTGGAGCATCGTCCCATAACGCTGAAGGGCCAGAGGTCTGACTGCCCGTCAGGAAGGCAGCCGACTGACGTTTCCCTCTCACATCGACGCTCCTCTCTCCCCGTCCCTTCCCCGACGCCCGCAGGTGAGGGTGGAAAGGAGAAAAAGCCATCGACTTACTTGAGTCCCGTCTTCACAAACTGCTGCCAATCCCCAGGACCCACTTCATCAGCTGAGCTCTGTGAAGACAGCGAGGAACAGACGGGAAACATCCCGGGGGAACCGGACAGGGAACTTAAACCTGAGCTGCTCCCTAAACAGGCCACACCACGTGCTCCTCGTCGCACGGGGTTTGTAAGGCTGTTTCACACGAGGAGGGACCCTGTCCCGCACCCAAGGCTCACCCAGGAGCAAAGGGAACGCCCCACGGTGCGGCTGCTGTCCCTCTGCCGCTCGAGCCAGCACTGGATTCACTGCACACGGCCCCCACCCCGGCTGCTTACACACGTGACAACATCCACCCGGGAGGACCACGCCTCCACCCGCAGGGCCAGGGCGGGTCCCAGCCACCAACGTGGAGAAAATCTCCCGCATGCTCTCCCGTGACGTCAGAGGAGTGGCTGCTCTTCAGGAGGGGCCGGCTGGGACATCGGGACTTTCTGGGGGACGGGAATCGTGGCGGGAGTGTGGGCACCAGGGGCGTGTATCTGTGAACATGAACTGCGCACCTTAGAGCTTACATCTCACGACCTGAGAATACACTCCAGGCCCCGCGGGGAGCGCCGATGGTTAGGGCACCGCCCCAACCCGCCCAGGCTGCGCACTGGGTCCCCGCCAGGGCACACGAGAGCCAACCCATGAGCGCACACACGAGCGGGACAACAAACCAACATTGTCTGTCTGTCTCCAAAATGAATTTCAAATAAAGAAAACGTATTCCAATGACAAGGAAAGGGCTGGCGTGGGTGATGACGGGGGAGAGTGTGTGTGCTCGGAGGGCAGAGGGTATATGGGACCTCTGCACTTTTCACTCAGTTTTACTGTGAGTCTATAACTGTGCTGGGAAATAAAAAGGTCTATTAGCAAGGAAGAGAGAGAAACAGGAAAGCGGGGGAGGAAGCAGACCTAAGGACTCAAACCCCTGAGAGCAGAGCCTGTCACTCAGGCACCAAGCCAGCCTGCTGGGCGGGCAATGGACGCACAGGGATGCCCAGGGTGGCAGTGGCAGTGGCCCCGCCTACTCCTCCTCATCCCTGGTTCTGCCATCGGGGGCCTGGGAGCCAACCTGACACCCTCAGCCCATCACACACGGGTCCAGGCTGGAATGCAGGCTGTGAGGGCCCAGGCCCAGGACGCAGACACACTGCTCGGTCTCTGACCTCTGAGTGCACGACCACTCCCCTAACCTCCATGTCTATACACACACGTCAGCGTCTATGACTTTTAAAGGGATGGTCACTGTGCCCTGAGGAGTCACTCCTATGTCAGCTTTCAGAACGCTGATCATCTCCACGTGAAATCGTAACATTAAAAACCCCACATTTCAATGGAAGGATGTAATAGCTAAATATTTCCAAATTTTATAGAAACTCCAAACTCACAGAGACAACAAGCTCCTTGAACTCAAAGCACAGGAAACTGGAAGAAAAGTAACGAAGGCACCTCATGCTCCAGGTGCTATGACTGCTGCAAAGAAAAAACCCTAAAAGCAGCCAGAGAAAAGGGTGTACTTTACAAGGAACAAAAACAAGAACGACAACTGTCGCAGCAGAAACAGCGCATGCCAAGGACAGGAAAGCAACACCTTTAAGATGCTTAGGAAACGGAAAACCTAGGATTTTACACCGAGACTTCTCAGCCCACGCTGCGGGCAGTGCCACCTGATCCTAATCCAAAAAAGGACACTGCGTGAAGTTAAAATTAAAACTCCCCTCATGCACCCAGACGCAAAAGTTCCTAACAAAACACCAGCACATCAAATCCAAAACATCTAACAATGAAAGCGGGAGGAGGAAGTAACGCCCCCCAGCCCCCGAACCCAAGGTTGGTCTCATCTTCAAAGGTCCACAGAACTCACTCACTGACAGACGGAGCAAGAAGGAAAAGCCAGACAGTCTCAGAAGACGCAGCAACGTGCCTGCTGGAGTCCACCTGCCACGCGGCCTCGCAGACAGGGTCCCTCGCCCTCCCCAGCCCCGGTCAGGCCCGGTGGAGTGTGCTGTGCCCCTGGCCGACCGTCCTGTCCCTGGACCACCACCCGGACCGCGGGAGAGGCGGCGCACCTACCAGCAGCTGGCGGAGCCGCAGCAGCATCTGCTCCTCCCGACCCTGGGCTCCGTCCTGGTCTTGCTCCCGGCCGCCGAAGGACCCGACCAGCCACTTCACGCAGCACTCCAGCAGCCTCTCTCTCCAGGCGCGCAGGTCTGCTCCCGCCCCGGCCAGGGCGGCCGAGATGGCGTCGGCCACGACCCAGCTGCAGCAGAAGACAGGTCTCAGGGTCAGAGAGGGGGCCCACACCCCAGCTTTAAGGACAGCCCGACGTGACAACGGGCCGCACGCCCCGGGCGCCGCTCCCTGAGCTGCCCAAGCACAGGGACCACAGCGCCTCCTGCCCTCGTCTGACATCGCAGACGGGCCAGCGCCCCCACGGCTGGGGGACCACAGAGCAGCCAGAGGAAGGGCACCTGCCCCGAGGCCGTCAGGTCAGGTTGTCTAACCTCCCAACACCGACATTTCACCGGATCCTTCTTCCTTGGGCGGGGGGAGGGTAGGGGGGGCGCTGTCCTTGGCTTCCACCCTCTGGCTGCCCCGCCCCGTGTTGTAACAACACAGAAGACATTGCCCCTGTGTGTGTGTGTGTGTGTGTGTGTGTTGGTGGTGGTGGGGGGAGGGGGTGGAGCCCGCCAGCAGGATGGCTGGAAGTTCGTCAGGAAAGGGCTTCCCCCGGACGGTGACGGTGCAACAGCACTGCGGGGCTCACCAGCGGGCGCGGCCCAGGGAGCAGCCCCCAGGCCCCCAGCCTTCGCACCTCTTGTGACCGTCTGGAGTCTGGAGCAAGCTGGGCAGACGGTCCTTGAGGACACCCAGGTCCTTGGCTCTCGCGAATGGGACCAGCTGGGCCAGGACCTCTGGGTGCAGCCCGGTCTCCGAGGGCCCGTCAGCACCGAGGAGCCGGGTCTGCAGCCTCCTCCACAGGGCCTTCCTCAGGATCGGGGCGACAGCAGAGGGCACTGGGCGGACACAGGGCGGCGGTCACATGGGAGGGCGTGTGGAGCCGCGTGGATGAGCTCACGGAATCTCGTGAGGGCCGAGGTCCCACGGGTGGCCTGACACTGGTCCTCCTGGTGGCCCTGCTTCACGTGGTAGCTCAAGGTCGAGGGGAGCTGTGTAGGGGTGACTCCTCCAGCCATAAGGTCAAGGGGGGGCTGCTGAGTGAGCATTTCTTATCTTTCTCCCTCTCAGAGCTGGTCAGGCCTGGAGAAGGGAGCTGCCCACCCCAGCACACGGAGTCCGGAGCTCACAGGGGGACCCGCCGCCCGACTTCACGCCGCCCTCCCGTACCTGCTGCTGGGCGCGTGGGGCGTCCCTGGGTCCGGCGCTGGAGGTAGCTGTGCACCAGGGGCAGGATGTCCTCCAGGCCCTCCCGCAGG